GCTCAGCCATCCTGTGGCACCCTTGGGGCTGCGCTTGGTGGTGAGTGCCTGTATGTCACCTGTGTATTGGCTATCTTATCAGGAACTGGAATTCCCCAGCAGTGGTCCCTTTATCTTAGCCTCTGGTACCTGATATCCTGGCTATGCTAGGATTTTTTTTTTCAGCGAAGTGCATTCATTCAGTAAATATTGAGCACTTATGGTTCGCAAGACCCTTTGCCAGGTGATGGTCTAACATAGCCAAAGAGCCTTTCTAACTACTGCTTTCTCTGGAATTAGCTAAGCAAATCAACTTGGTATTAACCTGCCTCTGAGTCACCACACTTGCCAGGAACCAGCCTAGATTTCCTCCCCCATGATGTCTGCCAGGACTTGTTCTCCCCCTTGGATCTCCGCTCACAACTCTGTCTCTGTCTCTGTCTCTCTCTGTCTCTCTCTCTGTCTCTCTCTCTGTCTCTCTCTCTCTCTCTCTCTCTCTCTCTCTCTCTCTCTCTCTTTCTGTGACCTTTCAACATTATTCCTTTAGCCTCTATCATTCAACTTCCCATCTCCATTTTCACTGAGAGCTTCTGAATAGAGTTCTGAAGTTCATAAGGTATTTGGAAAACTGCCCACCTAAGAGACAGGTGGTTTCTCTGTCCAGCTCCACCACTAATGAGATGTACGATCTTGGCTAAGTTACTTCACCTCCTGGGGCCCCAGTCTCTGACATCTGTGTGGACCCTGTTTATGAGTCTACTGGCTTCTGACTCGTCCCGGAGTTTCAAGAATTCTTGAGCACAGGGACTGGTCTGAAATAGTCAACATGTTTTACTTGTTGGCTGCTGGGCTTAGCACACATTAAATTTTCATCATAAATCCACAAAAGCATTCTTCTGCTTCTTGATATGCAATGCTGTGGCAGGTACCTTTTACAATAAAGTTGTCCCTACTTTCTTAAAATCAACATAATTCTGACTGTTGGGGTGTTATTTTTCCCTTCCTAAAAGGAAAGCTGTATACGTGAGTAGTGTGAACATATATGGAAAGAGGGAGACACAAAACCATGGTGCCCTATTCCTACCGGTCATTCAGAATGTGTGTGAGACAAGTGATCAAGGATAGGATTCTGCAGTTCACCAGTCTGTCCTCTGAGACGCGCAACGACTTCTATTGGATGGGTCAGGTGTGGTCTTAGGAGAGGCAACGGGCTTTTGAGAATCCATAATTTCCAGGACTAGGAGCCTCTCAGTGACAGCTCTGGTGTACAGAACCATTTCAGTCCTACGTTACCTCCCCTACATGTGCATAGTTACTCAGCTGCATCTCTATTTAACACCTGTCCATTCTGAGAGGAAGAAGTGTCCCTTTAACTCTTTTTGTCACCGGGTCCCATCATCTTCCAGCTCCCCAGGAATTTTATCTCATCAGTTATCCCCTCTCTCCCCTTTATCTTCAACTCTCCCCGACCCAATTCTTTATTTCAACTTAAATGCTCTGTCAGGTTCCACTTTAAAGCAAGCCCTCATGCCTGCACACCTGCACTCCCTCACCTGGCTAACACCAACTTGTCTCTCCCTACTCTGTTCATGCATCACCTCCTCTCTAAGCCCATGTTTCAGCTTTTCTCTGCTCCCAGAGCTCCCTGTGCATAAGTCTGCTCCCCCACTTCTACTGTACTACAGTTTACTTGCTTCTATGTCTGCCCCTCCAATTTGACTACATGTAACTGGAGGACCTCAACAGTACTTTTTACCTATTGCTGAATTCCAGTTGCCTTATATAGTACATGCTCAATAAAGGATGATTGAATGAATAAAGAGGGCAACTCAGAAATAACGAATGTGTCATTTTGAGAAGTTGTTACCAAATCTAAATAAAGAACCTGGAGCGGGCCTAGAAAATTCATGAGGTTTACATCCCCAAGACTCATCTGCAGTGAGGTTTGAAGAAGTAACAGCAGGATACTGAATAGTGGTTTGAGTTCAATTTCCCCCACAGAATTCACTTTAAAAATTACACATGTGGGTCGGCCGAGTGGCGCGTTGGTTAAGAGCTGGCTTGGGACGCCAGAGGACCCTGGTTCGGATCCCACATATAAGGGCCAGTGACGCTGCCCTCTACAGCTAAGATGCTGAACAACAGCTCAACCTGGAGCTGGGCTGCCGTGAGTCGCCAGCAACAGCGTAGGCTGCAGCCCCTGCTGCAGTGGGTTGCCATGGGCTACCGTGTGTGGCCAGCATTCAGTGTGAGCGGCCAGCAGCCGCAGTGAGCGGCCGTCCAGAAGCCGGTGACTGACCTGCCTCACCCGGGAAGAGCGCAATGATGGTGCCAGCTTGGGCCAGTGAAGCAACGTCCTCCAGAATTGGACTGCAGAACAAAAGGACAGCAACTTGTCTGTTTCCCTTCCCCCAATTCCCCAATTAAAAAAAATTAAAAAAAAAGTACGCATGTAGTATTTATCCACTGAAGGAAAAATTTAAAAACATAAAAAGAAAAAAAGAAAGGAAAATCACCTATTACCCCATAATGCAGTGATGGCCTCTCCATATATACCCCGCTAGATATTTTTAATATGTAAAAAATGTGCACTTATGTAAACAAGTGTTTTAAATGGCACCATCCTATATACACTATTGGGAGCTTACCTCTTAACTTGCTATGTGCATCTTTCCTTGTCAATAAAAACATAGCTACAACATCGCTTTAATGCTAGTAGTCTGGGATTAAGGCAGGTGAGAGTCAGGATATATTAAACCAGTTCATCCTCTGTTATTTTACATTTAGGTTGTTTGTGGTGTTTCACTATTTCAAATTTTTTTTCAACAAACATATTTTTGCCTGCATTTTTAAGCACTTATCCTATTATTTGCTGAGGATACATTTCTAATGGTAACATTTCTTGGTCAAAAGATATGTTCATATTTAGTTTGTTATATATGACCAACTTGTTCTTCAGAAAGTTGTACCAATTTACACAGACACCAGCATGGTACAAGGGTGTCTCCCCTTCCCCACCTCCACTCCCCCCCAAAAAAAAGAAAGAAAAGAAAAAAAAACCCAAACAAAAAGAAAGGAAGAAAGGAAGCAAGAAAGCAAGCAAGCAAGCAAGGAAGAAAGAAAGAAAGCAAGAAAGAAAGAAAGAAAGAAAGAAAGAAAGAAAGAAAGAAAGAAAGAAAGAAAGAAAGAAAGAAAGAAAGAAAGAAAAGAGTTTACTTTTTCCCTCACACTCTCACCAACATGGGTTATACTAACTCTACGAGTATTTACTCTTTCTCAGTCTGATTTGGTTTCTCAAGTTTTTTCAAAATTTGCATCTCATTGATTGCTAGTTAGGCTGAACATATTAATATTTTTATATCTTTACTGTCCCTTTTATATTTATTACTTGAATCTCCTGTTCATATCCCCTGATCTCTGATTTATTTTAAAAAGTTAGATAATCCTCTTTTCGCCAAAAATGTGATATATACTTTTTTTAAATTGCTATCCATATTTTTAAAGCTTTATAATGCTTTTAAAATTTTTATTTTACTATGCAGAGAATTTAGGCTTCCCCCTCAACCCCCCAGAGTTAATCCATTTATTCCTTCAGGCTTCTGCCTTAGGTACCTACCCCCATGAGGCAGAGATTACCAGTTGCTTACTGAATATTCTTGCCTCATCTTCTTTAACAAGGGAACACTGCTGCCTGAAATATATATATCTGAGCCTCCTTTGCAGCTGGCTGTGGCCGGGTGACAAGTTAGAGTCAATGACCACAAGTGTGTTGTGTGACCTGGGCAAAGCTCCTCAAGAGTGAGGGGTGAGCCCTTCTCCCTTCCTTTCTGCTGCCTAGATGGAATTAGCTACAGCTCTGACAGCCATCTTGGACCATTTCCATCTTAAGAAAGCCAACTTGGCAGAGGGAACAGAAAGGAGACTGGAGTCCTGATGATGTCACAGAGCTGTCACACCAGCCCTGGCCTTTCTACCTCTGAACTTCTTTCATGTGTGAGAATAAATAAATCACTGTAGTCAGGCCTCTGGTAAGAGCAACCGTTACTCCTAAGAGCAATTCCTAACTCATAGACCAACCCAAGGTTATATCAATATTTACTTGTATTTTCTTCTAGTTATTTTTGTCTACTCTATTATCTCTATGTTTACAGATATGTGACTGAAAAGATACATAACCAAGGTTTAACAGTGTATATAAAATAATAAAGTTTTGGTAGAAGCTTCTTTGAAATGATTACTGCTAGACTTATATGTAGATAAAATTGTTATGCTGAATTTTAAGGAAGGATCTAATTGTAGTTTTATTCTATTAGGCATTTTTTTTGGAAAAAGTTAGCCAGTGATCTTGACATGGAATCCTTTTATAACACAGATCTTAAGAAATAGCATTAGTATCCATTTTCTGACTAATTGTGGGCTTTTATCCAGAGAAGCTAGTTTTCAGAGAATGCAGCTTTAAAATGTATACAGCTATTTGAGAGGTTGTCAATGTAGATAATGGGTTGCATATCTGAATTTGTGTAATAAAGAGCTGTAGTGTAGAAAAATTTGCTATAGCTTCATTACAGCCAGAATTTCATTTTAATACTATTGGTTTTAAAATGTGTTTTGACTGTATGTATAAGACATTTTTTCCCCAGAATTTGACAGCACATATTATTTTTGCTTCTGGAAAAATTAGGCAGACATTAGTGTTCAATGTAATGCAACTAATATTTCCTTAACTAACATTTATTAAGCATCTGCTATGTATTAGTCTCTGTATTTAATCTTACAATGACCTGCAAGGCAGGTAATATAATCCCTATTTCAGAGAGGTGGAAATTGAAGCTCAGAGGTGCTAATTCACTTGTGCAAGGCCACTCATAGTCTGAGTGGAAAAGACAGCCTCTGAAAGCTATTGACTCCAAATTTAAACTCCTATGCTACTCAGGGCAGGCCCTCAGATGAGCATGCAGAAGATAAGAGATGAGTAAGACACAATTTCCCACAGGCAATATTAAAGAAAAGTTGGTACTTACCTGCCCCACACAGGTCTGTTATGTTAATGCGAGTGGGCAGGGAACTGCCTTTTGAGTTCACTGCAGACACAGCCACAGCCCACTTCTCAGTTCTGGGAATGACCCAAGTCCAGGAGGTATGCTCTGTGATGTTCTGTAGTGTGGCCTTCCCTCCTGCCACCTCCAGCAAGGTCACCTGATAGTGGAGGATTTTTCCTCTTGCTTCTGACACACTCAGATTCTGTAACAATAGACATCCACTTACTGTGTGGGTTCAGATGCGGCCACTCCATACTTTATGCCTAGACCTCACGGCTCCCTGCAGCAGGCAGCTACAGCTGAGTGACCTTTTCATTTACATCTTCTCATCTCCTCCACTACACACTTATGCCTCTGCTCAACCCCACCATTTACAAGAAAAATATCACTTAACATTTTTTAAAGCTAACTCTTAAAACCACATTGATTTTCCTTTCTTGCTTCAAAATGAAACTTACTAGTAGTAGAAAACTCAATTACATCCAACAGAATTCCAGCTCTCCCAATCATCAGCTGTGTGACCCAGGGCAAGGCATTCAGTCCATTCTGAATCTTCATTTCCAAATTCGTGACACATACATGTATCGCTTTTCTTTTTCCCTAGCTGAGCCATCCTGCCACCTGTTGGCAGCTGTTGGCATCTCAGCTCCGGCCAGGAATTGAACCAGCGACCCTGTTGCTCAGAGCTCACACTCTTGAGTGAGCTCTTAACCAACTGAGCCACTCGGCCGGCCCTTACATGTATCACTTTTTTAAATAGAAAGTGCAATGCTGCTCACAAAATCAAAAACAAGATTTTTTTCAAGCGCTCAACTAGGAAAATCCATACTTAGTGAATTGGATTAACTCTTTATGCTAAGAAACTGAGACACTGTTTATAAATGTGTGACTAGCGAGTTGTTGGAACTGCAAAAATCCCAATTGAGATCATTTGGGAACAATCGCAGAAAGTAAGCAGAAAACTCATTATTTGCATTGTAGCCCTGTTTGGATAAGGACCATGGGAAACAAAAGCAGTGAAAATGGAGAGCTGCCAAGGCCAGTCTTGGCAGTGCCCGCCCATGCCTAGCGCAAGGAGAGGAAGGCTTAGCTCACCAGACTTAGGCATTACAGTTTTCTTGACAAAGCTGTTCTTTACATGGGGTGCGGGGTGGCTTCAAGCTGCAGAAAGACACACCTTGAGACTGGCAAATCCCCCTTTCTCTGATTCCCTTCTCCCTAAGCAATTTTCTAATAATTTGGTTTCCTCTGCAGTTTATCTGTCAGGAGAGGCTGGACTAACGGGAACATCTGGTTGACTTAAAATTTGTACTTTTCACTTTAAGTGAATAAATTACTCTTCTGATTATAATTTGGCTTCCAGAGCAATTAACATTCTGAGAGAGAATGTTCCTATTTGCTGACTCAAGCCTTCTGGTTGGCCCCACAGCTGTATTTTTCACAATGAATCAATCTATGAACATCCAGCTTTTTATTATACGTTAGTCTCTGAGAGCTTGATTAATGCAGGACCTGTCTAGGCGCCTCTCTGGATCCACAAGGCCCATGACTGGATCTTGAACCGTGGTCAATGCACCATGTTGAGTGCCATGTTGCTGAGGGCTTTTTTGGGTACAGCCATCCTCTCCCTAGAAGACATCTTTGTTTACTGGCAAGGACCAAGAAGATGAGCACTTCAAGTGTCTATTACAGCTGATCGCTGATCTCATAGGCCTGTGATGTGAATTAAAATAAGTGAATGCTTTTGACATTGCGATGTTCTAAATGGTTGATAATAAACATGTCCTTTGTCACAGGAGAAAAAAAATAGGATAAATTAAAACAAAAGCTGGCTAAGGAAGACCATTTCCTCAGTGATCTGTCACTCTGTTCTTCCTATCTGTCTCCTGTGGCGGTCCAGAGGTAGGACTATTATCCCACACCCATCTTATGCACCCCTACTCTGAGGCACCCTCCAGAGTTAACTGAGTTCACCAAGCTCCCCATTCTTGCCAGGGACCTACGAGACTTCAGTTTCACTCTGACAACTAAGGAAACAGCCCTTATTGGAAAAAATGCCTTGCAAATCAGCCTTTATTATCACCCTCTCATCATCCTTCATAGACACCTCAGCAGTCTCTTTGATCCTATAGTAGAGTGCTGAAAGGAGGGAAATGTCAAGCCATCTTGGTTCCAGTGAACTTGCCTCGTGGCTGCTGTGGAAATCTAGCTGATCACAGTGATCTAGTAAACAGAGATGCGGACCCAAAAGATGAGTGAAAGTTCCTAGAGGGACGCGAAGAGCCTGGAACCATACCTTTGCATTTCCCCTTCCATATCCTATATTTTAGAGTTGAAAATGTCAGTGAGAAGGTAAGGGTGGGGTTGAGGTAGTTAGACAAATAAATATGGTAGCCTGTGAGTTATGCTTGTATAGAATGTCAAGCTCAAATGTTGGGATAAAGGTTAACATCTCTCAGGTAATTGATCTCCTTCACCAAATTAAAAAACAAGCCTAACTTGTCCAACAGGGTCCATGGAACAAAAGATTCAATAAGCCAATAGGAAGACAAGTATTTATCCAGCTGGGCTCATAGCAACTGAATCAACTGTAAACAGTATAATTTGTTTGGTTTTAAAAAATAGTAGCAACATAAAGTTTGCAAACAATGTAAGTAATCCATCACGCCTGGATTACATTTGGCTCTGATGGAATGGAATATCACCACAGAACAGCAGAACCTGAAGCAATACTACAGATTAACAAATAATCCAACATTTCATTTTATCAATGGAGAAACGAAGTCCCAGGGCCTGAAGTGACTTGCTTAAGGACACTTATGCGATACACGAAGGAGGTCAGGGTAGAATCCAGGGCTCCTGACCTCTAGACTAGTGACCCCTCTGCTCCTTATACTGGTGACCCTGAGACGATGACCTGCTGGTAAGTGTGAGCCACCATGTTGCCTAGTTGGGATCCCCAGTCACTCTTCTGGCCCAAAGTTGCAAAGGAGCTTCTCTAATTGTGAGGTTGTGGTACATTCTGATGAACTGCATCAACAGCAGACATGACATCAGCAATTTGGCGAAGGTGGAGATCCAGAATTCTTTTTTTTCTAGAGACAACAGGCCCTGAGTACAAGGAGACAAGCTGTGAACCCAGAAGACTGTGACCTGAGGAGCCAGCTGGGTCTTTCCAGATGAATTTTTTATTCCAGTGTTTATTTGGGTGGGTGATAAGGCAGAAACTATCATTTATTGGGCCATACCATGAGTCAGGAGCTTTGCAACTATTGTAACATTTAGTCTTTATAACTCTCCTTTCTGATGAGGGTGCTGAAGCTTGGAGAAGTTAAGAAACTGACCCAAGCAGCCTCCACAGAAAAGTAATGCAAGATTTTAGTGCGCCCCCTGGTGGATGTGAGAAAGAGACGATGTGTGGACTGTTTCTAGCATCCTTGGGAGTGTCTCTTAAAGACCCAATACTTCTTGTGCCTTCTTGGGCAGTGCTGAGGCTGGTCTCAAGCCAGTAGTCCTACTATTGTTGTCACCCTCTTCTATTGGTAAGAGTATGCTAAAAAGGAAAAGCATTTCTATTGCCTCTCTCCTTCAGTTTTCTTTCTGCTCTGTTGTGTGGGCAATGATTTAAGTTTGTAAACTTAGGCTTTCTGACTTAGGTTTGTCTGAGAAGCAAAGAGTGAACAGCTCCCTCATAAACCTATTATAAGAGTTCTGCTGTCTGAAAAGGCCTTCAACATCAAAAGTAACTTTGTGAATGTCATCCATGATAGGACAAAATCTAACACATGTCAGAATCCTGGGCCCTGGTTTTTTGTTTTGTTTTAAAGTACATTGCAGATTGGAGGAATGGTGTTTCTGTGAATAGATAAATTATCTTCTTAAAACTTAAAAGAAAACTACTGTGCTTGTCATAAAGTAATATTTTACTTCTGAAATTCCCCTGATGAAAAAAAAACAAAAGCAAAAACAAAACCCATTAGAGCGTACCCTACATCAAAGAAGAGTCTATAATCAAGACCCCTGGAAAGCTGGAGACCTTGAATACTGATTAGTCACAGCTTTGTCTGTGAAGACCTTGTTTTTGGGGGTGGGGGAGGTAGATCTTTTGCTTTCCTGCTCCACCACATAGCAGCTGTGTGACTTTGGGCAAATTATTTTACTTCTCTGAGGCCCCATTTCCTCAGGATTAATTCTATGTACAGCATAGGCTCACAGGAGGATTCAATGGCTAATGGAAGTAAACTGTTTCAAAGAGTGCTTGGTGCATGACAGATATTAAGGCCCTGGGTGAGTTCCCTTCTCTCAGTTACTCTAATAGTATAAAAATCATCCTAATTGGCACTTTTCCCATCATACTCATATGCCTCTTCTGTCAGTCTTGACTCGGCGTATACCACAGCTCTGTATGGAGCTCACCAGTGTCCTACAGTTAATTACAAAGTGCATATAATTTGTGGGTTTAAGTCTGGGTACCTTGATTTCAGAACTCATGACTGCCTCTAGCAACCCCAGGCCAAGTGAAGGAGTGACTCAAAGACAACCCTTATCTGGAAGTTTAAAAATCACTGTATTGAAATGATCTGTCTATGCATCTGTCATCCCACTAGCCTATCAGCTCATCTTTGCATCCTGTGTCATGCACAATGTTTGCCTCCTAACAGTGACTTACCAGACACTTTTCACAATTCTCTCATTAATCTTAACAATAAACTCATGTGGTATATTCTATTATTATCTTCACTTTACTTGTAAAGAAAATAAGGCACAGAAAGGTTAAGTACCTTGCTCAAGAACCAACATTAAGTGGTAAAACTGGAACTTGAACTCAGGTAGCATAGCTAGAGGATGAACTCTTAACTGCGGTCATGCTAGCACTTAGTAGACATTTCCTAGGTGTTTGCTTCACTGAGCTTATTTAGTTGATAATCATACCTCCTGGTAGTTAACCCGCATCATTTCTATCTTGTTTTGCAGCTAAAAAAAAATCAGCAAAATCATGGATACTTTTGTAAGAGCAAAACTTGAACTCCCTTTCCACCTCTGTTTTCTGTCTTCTATTGATTCTCTGTTACCTACCCTCTTATCTTTGTCATTGATCCCATTCTGCTATCCAGCCAGAAATCCCTACATTATAGCTGGTATAATGTGTGTGACTTGTAAGCAAGGAAAAGCAATGTGTTCTTTCTGAAACTATCTTCTGAA